ATCTATCTATCTATCTATCTATCTATCTATCTATCTATCTATCTATCTATCTATCTATCTATCTATCTATCTATCTATCTATCTATCTATCTATCTATCTCTCACTCTCTCTCTCTCTCTGTCTGTCTGTCTGTCCTGTCTGTCTGTCTGTCTGTCTGTCTGTCTGTCTGTCTGTCTGTCTGTCTGTCTGTCTGTCTGTCTGTCTGTCTGTCTGTCTGTCTGTCTGTGGAGTGGAGGGGGGTGTTGGGGTTAGGCCCAGTTGTACATGTTTTGGGACCGTTAAAAGCAGTTACAGCATAGAGGACGCCATATCGCCCACCGCTGACAACAAGAAGTAAGCCACGACTCACTACGCATGAAATCCCTCCGACATAGTACAGGCGCTACACCAGATCGAGGCACCAATGGGAAGGGAGGTCACTCTCATTGTTGGGTCTCCTATCGCCACATGTACCTATTCAAGATATATTTATTTACCATTCAGCGCACAACAATGATGATGATGTTAATATAATTATAATAATAATGTATCTGTATGCTGACATTTGGTTTCTTGCCTCTCGACTTCGAAGGATACGTCACTATTTAGTCGACTGTTAGGACATAATGAGTGATACGGTAGGCTACTATATTGTAAAGGACCTTTTTTCCAGCCTCCAGGCGTATTTGGCATATAGGGCTAGACCTTTTTTTTTTAAACGTAGTGGCACTGTGTGAGCGATGTGGTCAGCATCACGCCGACCGCCTTTGCTTCCTATGACTCTTCCTGATGCCCATTTAAAGCTGTGTCGACCTGAAAGCAAAGGTCTTTTTTTAAGGCCGTCACCGTGAGGAGCTGAACCCACAAGCTACTGACCCGCATGCGAGCGTCTAGCTACTACACCACATCGGCTCCCAGGCTACTTGACCCTCTCCAGCAATGTTGTTTCTACTATATTTTTTTTTTCTGACCTATGATTATTGACAAATAATTGACAGTTATGATCATTTCACAGAGCGGACTGGTCATCAACAACGTGGAAGACGATCATGGATATCTGTGCAACACCAACAAGCTGGAGTCCTTCTCCAACATCGTGGGCATGAGCCCTGTGGTCAGACAGCCGGCCATTACCTACCTGGGCCTGAGATTGACCTCGTTAGCCGTTAGCGTGGTCAACCTAATTACAGTGGCCTTTGTGGGCACGGAGGATGGCAGATTGAAGAAGGTGAGAGACCGGTGTTAATCTGACTAGTTATGAAGAAGGTGAGAGACCGGTGTTACACTGACTAGTTATGAAGAAGGTGAGAGACCGGTGTTACACTGACTAGTTATAAAGAAGGTGAGAGACCGGTGTTAAACTGACTAGTTATGAAGAAGGTGAGAGACAGGTGTTACACTGACTAGTTTCCCTGGTGTTTTAGAGCAGCCTCTTTATCGGCATCATCATCATCATCACTTTCATTATCATAACAGCATTAGGGTCAACATTCTCTGTGCAAGTTTCAGGGCCCAATTTGGGGGTGGGTGGTGGGAAAAAAAGGGCGGTGGTGGGGGGGGGGGGGAATAAGGCGTGTTTTCTTCGAAGTCAAGGAGGTGAGGAGCCAGTATTCTGGACACCAGTAGGGGATTTTTAGGTAGGCCACACTCTTTAAACGAAGACTAAAATCCATAAATGGACGAACAACCAGGACTTTCCACCGAAGTTTTTTAGCCGATGAACGCTAAGAATCAACATCATTCATCAACATCATTATCACCATAATCGTCATCAACATTATTGCATCACCGCCAACATCATTTTATCATCATCGCCATAGGAATACCGAGGTTAAAGTGCTTTGATCATGTCCCTCCATATCCCTCTGTCTTATTTTAGCAGAGAAAAAAGGAGGGGGGGGGGGTGAAACTGCGTGGATTCGAGGATTAGATGTATGGTGTCCGCCTCTAGTGCTAGAGGTTCCGGGTTAAGCCCCGGTAAAGGCTGGGATTTGTTACTGTTCACGTGAAATTCTAGTAATTTTCCCTGGTCTCTGAGTAGTGAAATAGAACGCCCATATGTATTTATGCGCACGTAAAAAAATCCCTTTGCAGTTGGAAATCGCAAAGAGTAGCTTACGGCGCTGCCCGGTCAAAATTTTGAGTTAAAAAACTACCCAAAATGTTTCAGATAGAACTATCAGTATTTGGTGAGTGATATGATAAACATCTTATCGGCCGCTTTTACAGCCTAGAAAATTCCCTGGTACCCATTGTGCGCTGGATTCTGCAGCCTGTTTTGTTCCAAACGTACTGGTGTTACCATTCCTTTGGAGTAAACAAGGCAGGTCGAGACAGAGATCGCGATGCACGCGCAACATATTGTCCCTAAAATAAAGCTCAAGGCTTTGTGCTATGAAGAGGAGGACACAAAACACAGATGTTAACAAAATTGATGCTGAAATCCTATGCTATAACCGTGGAAGACCTTTCTTAACACGGGCGGGTCTTGCTAGTCACACTCGCCATCTAAATAGGCTGTGAGCCCCAAGCCTCCTCATAGCGCAATATAACACTATCGTCTGGGAAGACGGAAATGTGTCTATCATTAGTTGAAGACAGGATCAG